AATCTATACTGGGGCAGAGTTAGGTGTGCGTGTGGCATCTCCTGCATAGTTACTGACCATTTTGTGTCATACCCAGATTGAGGGGAGCCCAACCATCTTGTGAGACGGATGGGTTTTGCATAAAGTTACTGAACTGTATGGAACAGGGCCTCCCTGGAGACCTGGCTTGTTTCATGCCAAGCTCATGGTTTTTCAGCCATCATCTACTTGTGACAGACACACAGGAGTCACCTTAGGCTTTGTGCCTCCCTAGCAGTGACTCCTCTGGCAGCACTTCACAAAAGTTAAGTCATAACAGAATTGCAGAAAGATTATAGGGTATGTGGTCATCCCTGCAGCTTACTTCACATCCTTAAGCAAAGTTATACACAGCAGCTGTTCAATAAGTTCTTTTAAATAAAATCAACAAGCTTACATACAGTGAAATTCAAACAATGAGATATAATGTCCAATTATCTAGTTGAATAGATGGAAGAAAGGAAGCAGTTTTAAGTTGTTCTATCCAATAATGTATTCAATTATCCAGAGTTTATGATGATAGTCACTTAACCAATATTCTAAGACAGAATTCCAAAACAAGTCTTCATAAGATACTGTTTGATCACTTAATAAAGTTACAGTGCATGGAAAAGAGATAATAAAGGGTTTTTAAATTTTTTGTTGGGCCAGATGATGATGGCATTGTTATGCATGATAAGTAAAAGGTTTCTGCAATTATATAGTGAATTATGGAGGAATTAAAAAGATAACATATTTGAGAATCACTTTTAAATATTTTCAAACAGAGGGAGCAGCTGGGCATGGGGGCACATGCTGTAATTCCAACACTCAACGAAGCTGAGGCAGGAAGATTGCTGCAAATTCAAGGCCAGCCTGCACTACACAATGAGAGAGACTATGTCACAGAAAAAATGTGCCGGTGTGGTGGTACTCTTGAAATTCCCTTTAAGGAAAAAAAGAGCTCTTTCTATAACATCTGGATTCACTAAAAGTCAAATGAAAACTATGAGGAAAAGGACAAGGGAACTCAAGAGTTACAAAATTTTAACTGTACTCAGGATTATTTCTCCCCAAAGCACTTGTATTACAAGGCCTTCCAAGAGCTATAAAATGCAAACATTAGACATGTAATCACTTCTAGTTTTGCTCTAAAGAAAAGCTCTAACCGTGCTGAAGAAATGGCTTTTCCCCAGTACCGCCAACACGGGCCTTGGCAAACCACTTCTCGGTCCCCTCACTTTTCATTTCTGTTTATTATGGTAGGCAGAGCACACACCTACTCAGCAAAACCGCTGCACAGTGCTTACAGTGGCTGCTTTTTCTGCAGCAGGGCTAATTTCCTACCTACCATGAGAGCAGTTAAGCGGAAGTACAATGAGAGACAATCATGTGGCCAAGAAAAATGCTGCTGTTTTCAATACATGCATTTCCTCTTTATTTTTAAAGATATGTTTCTAAAAGGCCGTGTATTTAGAAAAAATAAATGGTGATCTTTAAAGTGACACTTTCTATTACATCAACCTTTCTTTGGTTATCCATGTGTATGCACACTTTTATTCTTAAAAGTGATACAAATGCAGGACATGTGGTACGAACCTGCTTCTGCGTTAACACTTACCTTGAGACGTTCTCCCACCCAGAGGGAGAAAGGTTCTGAAGAACTTGCCTTTGCCTTAAACCTTCGCTTGAGGAATCCCCAAGGTACTGTCCCTGATTAGGTCCACGGGGCTGCTCTGTGGATTCAGCAACCTAAGTTAAGTGTGATATGGATATCAGCACAAAGGGCCTGATGCAACTGCCTGAAATCAGGCTACAATTCTTCTGCTGTGAACAGCATATGTCCCCACCCTCACCCCTGAAAAAAATTAACCTATTCGGTGTTACTTCAAAAATATTCTAAAATTTGATCCGCACAATTTTCAATATATAGATTCTAGGCCTGGGAATGTGGCTCAGTGGTCCAGAAGTGGGTATGCAGAAAAAAACTGATTTTTTTCTGAAAGTAACTATGCTTGCAGTTTTCCTAAAACCTTCCAAGGAAGCTATCAAGGGTGAAAAAGTTTCCTGACAGTGCTCTACAATCTAACGGTACTAAACTTACTCCCAAAATTAAATCTCACCAAGATTTACAAGTATGACCCAGTGAGCAACTCAAGGAAAGAGAATTTTTGATGTTCAGGTATTTTGGAAAGAACAATTTTAATACAAATTTAAAATCATCACCACATTAGAAGATTAATGTCATATATTTAAATAAGCACGTGCATTGAAAATAAGTGCTTTTCTAAGGAGTAATAAAATCCAAGAGGTGTAAATTTTGTTGTAAAAAAGAGAGGGAAAAAAAAAAAAAAAGAAAAGGAGCTCTAACGGATATAACAGCAAGTGTGTTTGGGGGTGTTAAATAGCTGACTTTATCAATGTTTTTGGAACATTGAACACAGCTGTTTGCAGTCTCCCTGTTTGAATGTCCACCTTGTGTTCTTTGATATTGTGATTTGAGGAACTATTTTCAAGAAAATAGTGTGTAATCTACTAGCAGGTAATTTCTTACTGTTATGGTTTTTTGTTTTGTTTTGTTTTGTAGTTCTATATTGCGTGTACCCTTACGCCGCTTTGGTTTGTTTTGTGTTTTTCTCTTTTTCCTCTTAAATAAAAAAAAAAAAAAAAAAAAAAAAAAAAAGAAAATAAGTGCTTTTAACTGCCAAACATATTTTTAAAACCACACACTAAAGACTAGCCTTTTCCTATTCAAATAAATAATGAAGATAAAAATTTCCAAAAGAAATATATATTCACTTTTTTACTCTTTATAAAAGGTAATGGCTCCTTAGAAGAAACTTGTTCTGTGCCAAATTCAGTAAGAACCCATTTAGTCTTCTGGGTACACAGCAATCATAGGTCAGAGCATATCCAAGAAATCAGTGTGATGTAAATTCCACTTTCCCACTAGCTATATGGAATGGTTTGCTAACACTATAGCAACTCCTCCTTGGCGTTGCTAACAGTTGCTAATTCCTGATATTGAGGAAGAAAGAAAATATACTTAGTAAAAAAGTTGTAAAACTTGATGAAGAATTTTCTCTACCTTCCTTTATTCCCCCCTTGAGTATCTGAAGGACACAAACTATTACAATCATGAAAGTGCATACCTTCGTGCTGGCTTCTGGTATTTTTGAGGAAATCTTTACATTGCACACCAGATGCAAAACATGCCGTTTTTCCTGCTAAAAACAATAAACAGATGCCTTAAGACTTCAGTAATTCAACCTCACAAAAAGCTTTAAGATATTCCAAAATTAATGTGTAAGTGACATTAAGTACCTTTGGAAGCAAGTCCCTGAGACACTGGTGATCTGACAACAGCTTTCCAGAATAAATTAACCTCTGGTCTTCTGGACGCTAATGGTGAAAGAAAGAGTAACACAAGTCAGCATTTAGCCTGGTAAGTTTCCAAACACAGAAGAAATTGTTTCATGCAAATAATCCAGGTATGTATGTTTTCCTTCAGGATCATAGGAAAATTTAAAAACCTCACTTATTATACAACTTTTATCTAGCAAGTGCTTAACCTTAAACTGATCTCTAACATGCAATTAAATGTACAATGGCAAATTATCTCCAGTCCACAAAAACTATGGCAACATACTTAACTCCCAGGGAGACTGCTTTCAACCACAAAATCTCTAATTGTTTGTCCTTGGTTTTGTTCTTGTTTTCTTTAAAAAGCCAAACTATATTTGGGGTTCCTATAGCAACTAATTATAAAACCTGGTTTGACCTCTAAGAAAATTTAGAAAATTTCCATGATGAGCCTTCACTCAAACCACCTAAATACTGCTTCATTAACATGAAGCAACTCTAAACATAAGCCCCACAGAGGATTCCTGGCATGCAAATATAGTTACAAACATGCCATGTCGGTAAAATTTCCCAGTCACCCCAAAAGACTTAGTATCTCTATTTCAAGAGGGGAAAATCTGAGAAATCAACTCAAAATCACCTGCGGTAGCTTTAAAGTAACAGAGACTCCACACACTTTTTACACAAACCTCATTTTAAAACTAGTTTCTTTTAAACAGTACTTTTAAATAATGATTTCAAATGATATACACCAGTGTCAACACACTGGAGACCAACTAGTCAACCACTGCTGCCAGAATAATCTATTAGGCAAAACTTGGAATAAAGCTAGCTGTTCCTGCCAAGTAGCCTGAGATGATGAAGCAGGCTGTTGAAAACAAAATACAACAAACAAACAAACAAACAAACACCCTGCATTTACTTATTAACATACATCAGGACTTGAAACTACATTGTGTAAAATATATTTTGGATGTTGTGTTCACCACTATTTTCCTGACTGACGTTACAGGCAAATGTTATACACATGAATTCACAAGCCACTGTTGTAAATGTGGAGTCAATCACCACCACCCCACAAAAAAAGTTTAAAAACTAGAGCTCCTTGTGGATTTGAACTGTTTTCCCCTCTTTAAAAGCCTGAATTGGCAGTCCTAACCTAGAAAGCTGATTTGAAAAAAAATAAATAAATACATTAAGGAAACCAATAGTATAAAGGAGAACTTTTCACATTGTAGCATTTTGTACTACAGAGAAGTTTCCACCATAACCCGAGGTTTAAGCAGATTTGTGTACTTGAGAGACCTTTTGTTTACCATCTAGGTCTTCAAGCTCAGAAACAAGCAAACATCACTCCAAGCAAGGCCTTTCACAAAATGATGCAACCACAGGCTGGGCTCCCTTAGTGTATGTAAGTGACCCTAACTGCTGCTCTTCCAGCAACAAGGCCACCTGGGTTCTTGCCCACACCTGTGGTGAAACTGCAGCGTGCCATGCTGAATTCTACAGGGTGCTGGAATGGAAGCCAACCCAATATATAAGGAACCCCCAGGATAACAACTGAGAAGGAAAACACCCTCCTACGTTCTTGAGACTATACAACAAAATCAAACGGACACATTCGTCACTAAATGTTGGAGCGCTTCAGATATGAATGTACGTTTTCCCCTTTTTGCTGCCCGGGTGCCCTTTCCTGTGTGATCGTGAATTACATTCGTGTGCAAAGGGAACACTGCTGACACTTACATAACATAGGAGTACAAAGTAAATAGGGAAAGGTTCAGCTAGCTGCCTGCATCACGTGGTGGGAGGGAAGGAGGAGGGGCGGTGCAAGAGGGTGTTGTTGACAGCTGTGTCCACCAAAACAAAGCAAGGTAAGTCTCCCTAATCCAGGAACCAAAGTCTTAAAACCAGATTCTGAGCGACTCCTGCCTATTTCCTTCCTAAATCGCTCTTTGCTAGAAAGTACAGAGAGCTCCTCCCTGGGTCTAAGCAAGGACTCGAGTCCAGCGCGACAGGGAGGGGCAGCCATAGGAAGGTGGACTGGTTGAGCAAGAGCCACATCATGCTTCGGGGCGTGGACCCTGATTCTCCAGCCTGGGGTGGACACTGGGCCTCTCCTCTGCCTGCTGCGAGGCTACACTCAGAAAACTCATTTTGCATCTTTTAAAAAACATCTCCAACCAGGGGATGGAAGCCTCATTAGAATACCAAATCATGTTTGTTTGGGGGAAACTGAGGCTTGGAGGGTGAAATGACTCACCCAAGGTCAAAGTGCTGTTTCCCTGGCTTAGCTAAGGCTGGACGCCACATCTGGAGGACGAGGGAAGGGTCTGGGGAGGAGGGCCAGGGCCTGACAGCCTTTGGGTAGAGGGATGGAGGGGAGGCGCGGTGATAGGTGCCGGCAGCCCGTACGGAAGGAGTGACAGTGTCTTGGAACGCGATGACAGCCACTGGGGTAGGGCAGGAAGCATAACCACAGTTCTGCGAGGGTGGCCGGGCGAGCGCTGGCCATCGGGAGCGGCCAGCGAAGGGCTAGGGTACAGGAAAGCGGAGGTGGACATGGCATCCCCAGGGGCCCCTCTCACCGGGCGCTCGGGGTAGACGCGGCTCAGATGGGCCTTGAGACGGCCCACGCTCCAGCTGCGGTCGCCGGTCAGCTCCAAATCGCGGTGACGCTGGTTGGGGCTCTTCACCAGGAGCGTGACCGGCTCCGACTCGGGCTCAGGCTCCATGTCCACGGTGCTATGGGCTCGGCTAAGTTCAGAGATGACAGGTAGGGGGCGTCTCAACCGTTCAACGACCGCCAGCGACAGTTCACGTCCTTAAGGGCGCGCACCCCAGTCTCCCGCACCTTTTATAGACGAGCTGTGTTCCAGCTCTGCAGACAGAACTCTTTGTGGCTGGCGCCCATTGGCTGAGGCAGAGATCACCGACCAACGTGGCCCAATCAGCGCTGGGACCCAGAGGCGGAGGGGCGGGCTGACTACGTGAGCGCGGGCTGATGCAACCCTCCGCGGATGCGTCATACCGAGTCGCAGCGGCGGCTCCGGGGCCGACTTTCGTTGGCCATGTTTGGGTCAGCTGCGGCGTGCCGGGGAGTAGGCACTTAGGAGACTCGGCTCCCGATCTCGGGTTGCTGGACGCGGCGGAATGTGCGGTGTCCCGGCCGACTCCTAGTTACCAGTCTGCAAATTGTTTCCTCACAAAGCAGCACCCCGCCCTGACTGCACGCACCAAAACCCACTTCCCTCTCGCAGCCCGTCCTAGGGGAGGTTTCCCCGCCCCAGCCTGAGGCTGCCGTGCTGACGTGGGGCGCCCGGGCTGCCCCTTGCTAGCCCACGCTGGCGGGGGCGGGAGGGGTGGTCCCGCATGCGCACTAGGGAACCCAGAAGCTGCTGGCCTGAGTGTCCAGGTACTCGTTGCCAACTTAGTTGAGACTCTAAACTGGAACCTTACAACCTCAAGTGTGGGACAGCATCATTATGCATAGCCAGACTATGGCCTACACTGGGGGACACTCGAAAGGGGGCATCATTTGTAGGACATTGACACGTGCTTCCTTTAAGTTGGGGCTGAAACAGGGAGGCCAGGGATATCAGATTTCAAAATAAGCCTACAAAGACCTCTAAGTAGGAAAGAAAAACAAAAATACAAAAATCTGATGTTGCTCTGATCCCAATGCTTTTGGGACTTTTTTTTTTTTTTTTTTTTTTTTGAGTTATGGGAAGCTTGTCCGAGGTAACAGGAGGTCTGCTCTTGTTGGGCGGTATATAAGTTTGATACAATTGCCATAAGGAAGTAGCACAAACCAGATAGTTTAAGCAACAAAAATTTATTCTGGCAATTCTGAAGCTAGAAGTCTGAGATCAAGGTGACAGGCAGGGGTGGTTTTTTCTGAGGGCTGGGAGGGAGACTGTTTCATATTTCTGTCCTGGCTTGCAGTAGTTGGATGGCAATCCCTGGCATTCTTTGCTTTTCTGGTACCTGGCTCCAGTCTCTAGCTTCCTGGTCAAGTGGCATTCTGCATCTTTACACCATCCTTCCTTGCTGTCTGCACATCTGTCTCTGTCCAAATTTCGCCTTTGTATAAGGATACTATATTGTCACAGAGGAGTGACTCCCAATCTGGTATATCTCTAATATGTCAAGTTCATGTCTCTAGGTACCAAAGAATAGCTATGAGGTCAAAAGAGGCTAAGAGTAGGAAAAATTTATTGAGAGAAATTTCCTGAAAGACAGGAGGGGTCCTGAAAGCCAGTTTTCACTGAGGCTCTTTATCTGTGTATTTTTATAAATGAAAATGACCACATCTCAGACCACTCTGGGCCAAGCTGAGGTCAACCTATGGGGTTATAAGAATAGAAGCTTAGCTAATATTGATCCAACAGGGAAGGAGGCCCACAGGAAGGGTATATGTTGGGCACCACTAACTGGAGCTCTGTAACTTCTAATTTAAAGAGATCAAAGGCATTTCTGGAAGGGACAGGAGTTTGGGTCAGGGTGTTCTGGTCACCCACTCGTGCAACTTATCTAGGCTCACTGGACCAGATGGTGCTGATTAGAGTACAATCTCAAGCTGCTGTCTTTTGGGAGGCCTGCAGGCCTGGCTGTCTTCCAGTTCATCTGAGGCCACAGTTCTGAAGTGTGTCACCTTCTGTACTGACTCCTTTGAGGGTCCAGCCCCACTGTGACTGCCTGTTAATTTCTATCTAACTTAGCTGTCTGTAATAATATTACATCAGGGCCTACTCTAATGACCTCATCCTGACCATCTACAAAGACTGTTGCCAAACAGCTTCAGAGACTGGGTCCTGAGGGCTGGACTTCCAACTTCTATTTGGAGGACATGATGTGTCCCATAACTACTGCGGGTTTGCTCACCATCCACCAGCAATATAACACAGAACACAGCCATCTTGATTTAAGAAGAAAGATATTGAAGGCTTGGGACATAAATTGTCCCCATGCTCAATGTCCTGTGATTGCCTTTTGTCTTCTGAACATGGGTCCCACGGAGTCAGTCAAACTCCATACTTGATTTAAGACCTTGCAGTTTCCATCTTGAAATTTATAAGTTGTTAGTCAGCAGCTCCTGAGATCCAGGAGGAACTTAGGTGGCTAAACGAGAAAGCCACATTTGCCCGCCCTCTTACTTTTTTTTTTTTTTGTCTTTTTTCCTTTTTATCGGTACCAGGGATCGAACCCACGACTGCCTGCTTGCAAGGCAGGCGCTTATGCCGCTGTGCTAAATCCCCAGCCAGCCTGCCCTCTTGATAAACGCATCTGGTGTGAGCCAGGAGGAAAACTAGTCAGCGGCTCCCGAGATCTGGCCATGGTGGAACTTAGGCAGCTGCACAAGAAAGCGATTCGCCCGCTCTCTTGGTAAGTGCTCCTGGTACAAGCCAGGAAGAGAACCAGTCAGCGTCTCCCACGAGCCTACCAGTGTGCGGGCTGAGAATCAAACATCCCAGCCCCCTCCCCCTCTTAGCAACTGGGGTCAGAAGTCTGAGCATCTCTTGGGAGGATGACCATATTGCAACACAGCAAATATGGGGGTCTCCTTCTATCTTCTGTTTGAAGGCAAATGTTGTTTTCACTGTTTTGTTCTGATTAATTATTTTGCTTTATTCAATATTCTCTTTTGATTGGTTTTATAATGTTCTATTTTTGGTTTGGTTTTGCTATACCTAATTGACTGGACAACTATTGTGAAGATAACGAGATATACTATGGTACCTAATATTGTTATCCTGGTATCTTGCTGTGAAGTTCTGTACCAGTTTCACTGCATTGTCTTGATTGGCTTTGTTCTGTCTGGTTCTGTTGTATTTTTACTACCTTCAAAATAAAATTTAAAAAATAAGTTGTTAGTAGAAGCTCTGCATTTTCAATTTATGCTGGGCCCTGCAATTATCTGAATTCATAAATGAGGCTGGGAGAAAATGACTGACGATGATTTGGTGGTCCTAGAAACGAAGTAGTGGGTCAAGCCTCGTAAGATAAGCAGAGGAGGAGGCATCCAGGCAGGAGAGAAGGCTTTCCTTGCCAGTAGTGTGCCATCCCGGCTCTCAGTGACCATCCGTTTCCATCAGTATAGGACCAGAGAGGGCTGCTGCTGCTGCTGTTTTTCCTAGAGAAAAACCATCCGGTGTCTTCACTTTTTGTTACGTCCCAGTGAGAGCCCCTTTTAAAGGACTTCGGTGATTCTGCTTATAGCACACTTATAAAAACATTAAGTTTAAGTCAACAAACATGGTAGGAAGACAAGGAGAAACATATCATGACCCTGTTCTCACTGACCCTACAAATCAAATGGGGATGATAACCAAAATACAGAAATAAGAGACAATCCAAAAGTCTCTTCATGTCTTTCTGAGAGTCTTGCGGTTACACTGAGGGGCTCCCCAGGGTCAAAGAGGAGAGGTGGAGGAGAAACTTGATGAAAGATGGAAAATTTTAGCTAATCTTCGAACAGTGGGTGGCATTCAAATAAATAGAATGGCAATAATTATTGGCAGTGCCAGTAAAGTTAAATAGAGAATATGAATGGACAGGTATCGATCAGTGGTTAAACTCCTGAGCCAGAGCCACACTGCCCATTTTGAAGCTCAGCTTTTGCCACTTATTAGCTGTGACCTTAGGCAAGTTACTTAACCTCTGTGTATCTAATTTTTATTATCTGTAAAGCAGGAATGATAATAGTATGCACCTCTTAAAAAGCTCTTGGGATAGACCCAGACACTGAGTAAGTGCTCTATAAATGTTTGCTGTTAATATTAAGAGAATAGCATGAGATCAGTCTAGTGGTTCCCAAATTAGACTACGCAACTATGTTACCTAAGGGATTCTTTTTTTTAGAATCTTCGAAGCACTATGGTTTGAGCATCCTCTTCCAAACTCGTGTTGAGCCTGAATTGTCGTTGTGATGGTCCTGAGAGATGGCCTCTTAGAGGTGATTAGGGTACATGAGAGTGCCATGAGAGCGGGTTCCTCACCTCAGGAGTGGGTTTGTCTCCTCTTGTGCTCTTGCTTTCTCTCTCCTTCTGCCATGTGATGTCCTCTGCCATGTTAAGACACAAGAAGAACATCCAGATCGTATCTTGGGAACTTGAACTTGGACTTTCCAGCCTCCAGAACTGTGAGCCAGTGAACTTCCACTCAGTCTGTGGTGTTCTGTCACGGCAGCACAAAATAGCCTGAGACACATACATTCCCACTAGTCAAGTGTGACAAGGATAGACCTTGTATTAAAGATAATAAATAATGTTAATGTCAATGAGAAGAAAGACTAGAAAGGTGTTTTAGGACCAGATCTGGAAAGACTCTGAATAGTCATGCTTGGAAGCTTAGGCGTTGTTTTGCAAGCCATGGGAGGCTTGGGGGTAGAAGAGGAGACATGATCAAAATCAGCAGGGATCCAAGTCATTGTAGAGACGTGAGGGCAGAAGGTCTGACTGATTCATCCAGGAGGAATCTTAGTGATCAACCCTGGGATGTACTAAAAGAGGAAAGTGAAAAGAATGGGGGAGAAGGCATCACAGAAATAAAGCAGGAGGGACAGGGGTTTGCTGGTGAAGATTAGGTTCATGCATAGAAATAGTGGCTAGTGAATATTTAATGCTTTCCATGTGCCAGACACAGCTAAAGACACATAAGGACCTCGTATGATTTTACTTACTCAACTGTCACAGAAGCCTAATAGAATAAATGCTATTATTCTTTCTATTCTACAGCTAGGGAAAACGAGATTTGACAACTCAACTAACTTGTACAGGGCTAGTAACTAAATTAATTTCTTTCTTTCTTTCTTTCTTTCTTTCTTTCTTTCTTTCTTTCCTTCTTTCTTTCTTTTCCTTTTAGGTACTGGGAATTTAACCAAGGCCTTTCCACTGAGTTATATTCCCAGACCTTTTTAAAATTTTTTATTTTGAGACAGAATCTCACTAAGTCACTAAGTTACCCACGATGGGCTCAAACTTGTGAAGCTCATCTCAGCCTCCCAGAGTCCTGAGATACAAGCTTGTGCCATTGTGCTTGACTGCTAGCAACTTTTAAAAAAATTATTATTCAACTAGTACTGAGGTGCAACTTATATATGTCTTGAATGCACAGTTTAGAGAGTTTTGGAGAATATATTCAGCTGTGCAACCGACATCCATATGAAGACATAGAACATTTCCATGACCCACAAAGTCTCCCAGGGCCCCTTCGCAGTCACCTCCCTGACCTCTGCCACTCCTGGGCCCAGGCATTGCTGATGTGCTTCTTGCCCTTCCAGTGGATTATCTAAACAAAGTCATACATAAACATCCTCCTGAGTCTCTCCAGCAGACCAGACAAAAGAAGAGTGAGTTGAAGGGAAACTCACATTCTAAATGGGATTTCTGTAAATGTGGGAACTTTATAACTTTTGTAACTTGATTGCAGTAGACCTGTTGTGATGCTGTTGATACCGATCAATACATTGGTCCTGCCTTGACAGAGAAAGAGAGAGAGAGGGAGCAGAAGAGGGACAGACAGACACCCAAAATAAGAATGTTTCCATCCAGCTTTGCAAAGTCAGGAACAAAACTGAATCTGAACAGCAGTGGTACAAGCTTTATTCAATGGCCGAAGAATGGAGAAAGAGGGGTCTTGTTCACAAATCACACTCAAGTCACAGTGGGAAAGTCAGAGTAGCAAAAATGGAAGGAATAGACTAACCGGGGGGAACAACATGCATGTCTTTTTTTTAGGATGAAGAAAGGCTTCTCAGAACCTCTTTCTTCTTTTCATGGTCCCGTGTCTCCTTCCTTTTATGGTAGCCAGGGAGTGGTCATTTAGCATGGGTATTAGATTGTGACAAAGTTACAGGTCATCTGGTGACTACCCTGGCAGCGTCTGAGGCCCAGCTGCTTTTTGCTCTCCTACCTGAAGAGGCACTTAAGTCCTAAAGTTCTGTTTTCAAAGATAAACAAGATGAGGTGGGGTAGAAGATAGCCGATGCACACAGGCAGCGCGCTGGGCAAACACTGTCTGTCCCACAACCTAATTCATGTTTACATCCAAGAGGAGAAAGGGACGAAGCCTGCAGAGCCTGTCTGATTTTACAGCCAGATCACACGGATCTGGCTTTGCAGAATCAGAGCTGGCTAAAGGTCACTGACAGCATTCGTGTTTTATTTAGAACAATCTGCCGTTTTAGGCCAGGTTGAACTTCTGCATTTTGTTTTTGGAACCCTAGATTTTATTTGGTTTCTAGAGATCCGACAAATAATTTAAATGCCAATCAGAAACCTCACCTTTTATGGTCGTTTCTGAAGCCCAAGCACGACAGCACAGAGAAGCCACCAGGAAATGGATGCCCTGCTTTCTACTCATAAAACCCATCCTGCAGCAATCTCCCACCTCCCCTGAGCCAGAGTAGATTTCTTCCCTTCCCAGAAGGCGGGTTCTCGCTTAGCAAGGTGGCCTGAGACAAGGAAGTGCTTTAGTGCACGAAGGAGGAATCTACTGCGGGTCTCTAACTCGGAGGACTTGTGATAACACACTTCCCTATTATTTCATGGCTATTTTTCTCTTAGAAGTACTCACTACATATACATTTTAGCTTTTTGTCCACATTTTAATTACCATTATTGCATCAGTACACCATTCACTTTATATACATATATCTTTTAAAATTATTTGTACATGCTGTGACACATAGTGACTACTTTTACTGTGGACGTTTGGTACACGTTCATGACCCATCTTAGTTCTTCTTTACCCCTGCTCCCCACTTCCCCTCTCTTGCCTCCCCCTGCCTCTATCTCTTTGTCCCCTTCCCTTAAATTTAATTTTCAATTTTTCAGCAATTCAAATGCATAATATATTGTCATCTGAGACTAAAAAGAACACAGTATGGAAGAAGGCTGAGGAAAATAGGTTCCCAACAGGGACTAGTGATTCTACAGAGTTTCTTCTTAGTGCTTTTTCTTGGAATTTTAGAATCTCCTGCTATGGCTCTGCAGGAATAGAGCAACCTGGAAGGGAAGGCAATGAAAAAAATAGACCCAAAGTTACAAAAAGTTAAGAAGAAAAACCAGTATTCAGAAACAGTATTCATATTTTGAAACTAAATATAAGGAACCACTATCCTTCAGTCAGTCTGTACATATCCAAATAAGGTGCTAAGGGAAGAAATTACATCAATTTTATCCTCAAAATTGTCCTTCAGGAATGAAATAGACAATAACCCCTTCACTCTGCAGGGGAACTCTTCACAGCAGTGCAAAAGGAATGGTGTGGGCCAGCAACTCCCTTGTAAGATATTCCAGCTGGAGGTGTGAAATCCTGGCAAAACCTACCAGACATAGCTGCGACTCTTGAACTTCCTTCCTAAATGGCAATATATATATAACAGCAGCTTGCTATTGAAGAGCTAGATGGGTCTCTAACTGTTCCAAACCAAGCACCACTGCTGTCTAACTGGGTCTAACTTTGAATAGCACTGGCAGGGCCCATTAAGGACCTTTGAAAAAGAAATGTTTATGGAAAGCGGTTGCATGTCCAGGCAGCAAGGTGGTGTTGATACTGAGTGAGTCAAGTGCTTTCAACCTCTCTGCTCCGCCTATCAGGTTAAAACTCCTAAATTCTTCAGTGTTAGGTCAAGTGAAAGGATGACTATGGAACCTGTGCTTCCAATGGAACAACTAGATGGAGCTACAAGAAATTAAACACATCTCTGGACTTAATTTGGAAAGCGCAGTCCCTTGAGCCTCCTTCATCTCAAAACACCTACTGCTCAAAGGTGCTGCATTTTCAACAAACAAAAAAATAGCAGAGGTGCCACCAACACACCCCTCGTCCCAGGATGAGACATGCAAACACACAAGCATGTAA